AACAGCAGAATAGAAACATGTGATTGAACTGAAACCTACTCAGGCAATCCCTTCTGGAATTGGATAACTTCATAGCATGCTAATTCTGTGTGCAGGAGAGGAATTTAACAAGAATCAAATTTAATTAGAACTTGGGATAAACATACTGATAAAAAGATGACAGATTTTATTGCTGTCTATTTGCAATTGTCAATAAAGTGGATAGACCATAGTTGACAATGGGGTTCTAGCTGATTAACTAAGTGCTTCCGGTAATGCTGAAATCCAAAAGATCAACGTTTACATAGTTTATCAGTGTCCCTCTCTCAAAGGACTGAATGAATGCCTTGAATAATACCCCTCCTGTATTTTTAGTGATCTTTTCCTTTGTCCATCCAAACAAAGGTATCAACGTTGGGCAACGGAACTTCTTGCACGTCAACTCTCACAGCAAAAGTTAAGGAAGAAATTATTTCAAATCGATCCCTCTTTCAAACTATCGCTCCATTGCAAAGTTTTAGGTTAATTACTGACGTTTTTGTAGCTGATGCATTTTTCATACATCAGCAGGATTTGCCAATATTATTGATAATTTTGCTGCAGAGATTGATAGCGAGAGAGAGATGTATTAATTCACATTGATGCTGCTGAAATAATTTACTATTAAATCTGTAGTTAACCATTTGCATTAAAGTAATGTATAAAGTTTCTACCAGAGCTATTTACATTTTTCTTTCGGTCTCCTGGGTTAATAGCTAAATGCTTCAATGCTGGTGAGTATTAGATAAAACAAAACCCTACCCTTAAAATCTGACGATGCTTTGGACTGTTGTGTTTTACAGTTCAACAGATAACATCCCCTGAATTCCCTATGGTATTCCCTCACTATCTGCACACTCTCTATGCTACATGGGGACCTATGGAGACAGATGGATTGAAATATGATGAAACTGGTCTTTGCTGTTAGCACAAAGCCAACTTGCAGTTAATTTCAGCCTGATTTACACTGTGCCCAGTTGGTTTTTCCCAAGTCAAAAGTAAGTTAAACCAGCCACAGAACAAAAAACAGGCTGTTAATTAGCAACAAGCCACACTTGTTCTATTGACAAGACCAACTGTATCCACAGGTTTTCCTGGAATCTGCCATGCTGCCTCTCCCACAATGATGTGGACCAGGCTGACATGTTCCCTGCTGTGAGGGACTGGATTTTGTTTGATTTGTCCTCAGTGGAGGTGATTCATTCTGAGGATACTCTCATAAGACTAGCTTATCATGTATCAGTTCGCAGTTCAGTAGGTCCAGTGGACAGTTAGTTAGGTTTTCACCTGCTGACTCATAGTTCAGAAGACTGAGCATGAGCAAACAGTTGTGGCAGATTTTGTAGTGTTGCTAAATTTAATCTCTGCTCTGTTTGACTGAGACACTGAATCCCAGGGCCCACTAATGGAAAAGGTCATTGTTGAGGAGTAGTAGCACATCTCCAATATACAGCAAGTTTTCCATTCACACTGTCTTTATTGCAAAAAGAATGAAAGAGTCTAGCTCAACTGCACAAAAGTTGATGCTACTGGACATAGCAGAAATATCTTGTTGCACAGACAGACTGGCATTTTTCATGGAACATCAATCGTTGATTCTGTGCGACATTTATTCAAACGAATCCACAGAAACCTCACTTAGACAGCTCACACTGCATGTCCAATTCCTCATTAAGGCTGAAAGATACCCTACAGCTCTTCAAGTATCTCATGGGTCTGCACCCCACTACCATCTAGCAGATTGGCAGCAATGAAACATAGCTGACCCATGAGAGAAATGATTGTAAAAGGAGATGGGGAAGTGTCTCTCTCACTCAGTACATTCATACCTCTCACCCACTGCAATCCCTACCCTACCATCAGACCCTCAATTAATAGATAACAATGCTGCCTTGTGTATCAATGGCTAAGTGTACCTCTGCACAGGGGCAGCAGTGTCTGGTGGAGATCCCATGATTCTCCGAGAATCATTGACCATGAGCATGTCAGCTGTTAGAGCAGGGAACTTAAGAACTTGTGCCTATCACTGCTACAGCCTCAGTGCTGCAGCACATGACAGTGGGGAAGACAGAAAGAGAAAAGCTTCATAGTTTACCAGGTGAATGTACAATGGGTTTAATAAATTGTCATGCTATTAAATTTCTATTGATTACTAGAATCATATATAATGTAACACATTGCAACAGTATCACATTTTTTACATTCTTCACTGCCAGGTGGTCACTTCTCTTCGTCTGTTGATGTAATGGGAAAACATAAACTGCAGGGAACAATGACTGAACAGGTAACACAGTGTGGAGCTGGAGGAACACAGCAGGCCAGGCAGCATCAGAGGAGCAGGAAAGTTGACGTTTCAGGTCGGGACCCTTCTTCAGAAAAAATGAGTGAACAGGCATTGGATAGTGATCAGTATAAGGTTGCTTTGTGTCATTGGGTTTGCTAGAGGAGGGAGCATGGGATTTTTACACTGGTCCTGTGCAATGCCAGACTAAACCTTACAGTTATTAGGGAATCCTGAGCAGTCATATGAGCATTTGATGCAGTATTATGGCACTATTATTACCACATTTGCTAAATTGCCTGTTTGTCCTGCAAATTTCGATCTTCATTGCTGTCCAATATAATGCAAACTCCCAACAATGTGGAAAATATGTCCTGTCCACAAAAAAAGGGCAGATCCAATCTAGACATTAATGTCAGTCAACTCTCAATTATCAGCAAAGAGATAGAAGACTTCATCTAGAGTGTGACACTTACTCTCTAATAATCTGCTTAATGATGTATAGTTTGGATTCTGCCAGGGCCATTTAGCTCCTGACCTCATTCCAGACTTCATCCAAACATACACAAAAGAGTTGAATTCCAGGGATGAAGTGACACCAATTTCCCTTAACATCAAAGCAGCGTTTGATCTAGCATGGCATCAAGGAGCCTCAGCAAAATTGAAGTCCATGTGCATCAAGGGAAAACTCTCCGCTGGTTGGTAGTACCTAGTACAAAGGAAGATGCTTTTGGCTTTTTGGAGACAAATCATTTTAGCCCTATTTCTGCTGCTGATTATTATTTTCTGCCTTATCCAATATCCACAATGAGGCTCCACCTTCCTGTTTTGCAGATCAGTTGATATCACTAAAATCCATAATTTAACCTTTAAAACAAGTAACCAAGTAACCTTTCCCAGTAGGAGGGAAGTAAGAAAGCAGATGGGAATATCAAGGTGCAGAATTTTGTTATTTCGGACAGCCTTCCCTATGGTGAAAATGTCAGAAATGGCCCAAAAGTGCAAGATCCACCTCTGAGCCCGGAATTTCCCATTTCACTGGGGTAGGAATGGATTCAAATTGGGCTTCACACATGCACGGTTCCTATAGGCAGCTGGCCATTTAATCGGTGAATTTCAGTAGTGACTCTCAGAATGCCTGGTGTAAATTTGATTGAATTATCCTCATCCAAATATTACAAGGAGTAACACTCTCTCCAGAGGGTTTCATACACACATCCAAACAGGCTTCAGCTCAACACAGAGGCCTATATACTGGAGACAGCTTGAGATTTCAGCAAACTTAACCTCTCTCCAGAATTCCAATGAAAACACAATTGACTATTAAAGAACTCCCCCCATGCTTTGTGTTACTGAGTGGAATACTCTAGATTGGAACTGTACAGTATGAGTGTCACTTCTTGAATTTAGTAATCCAACTACCTTGAGATAAAAAGGCCAATCTTTCTCCTTTTTGATTACCTCTGCGTTAACTTTTATCCAATGTTCATGGGCACCTAAATCCCTCTGTTTCTCCATAGCTCCAATCCCGCTTAAAAATTAACTTTTTCTGATCTGATTACAACTGAAAAGGATGCACCAGTTGACTTTAAGGATGCCACCGGTGGTTGGAGACCTGTGAACTGGCACCCAATAAACTCAAAGTGATAACGGCTAGAACACAAGAACACAAGAACTAGGAGCAGGAGTAGGCCGTCTGGCCCTTCGAGCCTGCTCCGCCATTCAATAAGATCATGGCTGATCCTTTCGTGGACTCAGATCCACTTACCCACGTTCTCACCGTATCCCTTAATTCCTTTATTGTTCAAAAAAAATCTACCTTTTTTTAAAAAGCGTTTACTGAAGTAGCGTCAACTACTTCACTGGGCAAGGAATTCCACAGATTAACAACCCTCTGGGTGAAGAAATTCCTTCTCAGTTCAGTCCTAAATCTGCTCCCTCTAATCTTGAGGCTATGCCCTCTTGTCCTAGCTTCACCTGCTCGTGGAAACATCCTCTCTACTTCTATCTTATCTATTCCCTTCATAATTTTATATGTTTCTATAAGATCCCCCCTCAATCTTCTGAATTCCAATGAATATACTCCCAATCTACTCAGTCTCTCCTCATAAGCCAACCCTCTCAACTCCGGAATCAACCTAGTGAACCTCCTTTGCACCCCCTCCAGTGCCAGTACATCCTTTCTCAAGCAAGGAGACCAAAACTGCACACAGTACTCCAGGTGTGGCCTCACCAGCACCTTGTACAGCTGCAACATAACCTCTCTGCTTTTAATCTCAATCCCTTTAGCAATGAAGGACAAAATTCCATTTGCCTTCCTAATTACTTGTTGTACCTGCAGACCTACCTTCTGTGATTCATGCACAAGGACACCCAGGTCCCTCTGCATAGCAGCATGCTGCAACTTTTTACCATTCAAGTAATAATCCTTTTTTACTATTACTCCTACCAAAATGTATGACTTCACATTTATTTACATTGTATTCCATCTGCCAGACCTTTGCTCACTCACTCAATGAATCTATGTTCCTCTGCAAAGTTTCACAGTCCTCTGCACACTTTGCTTTGCCACTCATCTTAGTGTCATCTGCAAACTTTGACACCCTACACGTGGTCCCCAGCTCCAAGTCATCTATATAAATTGTAAATAAATAGAAGTAAATAAATAGAGGCATAAAAAGAGGCCTCTTGCTCGTCCTACCTCCTGGCACTTGCTCCATAAAAATCTTGATGTAGCCATCTTCAGAAACTGAACCAAGATACTGGACAATATTCCGATGCTTAAGGCACTTGTACAGGGCAATCTCTTCATGAAGGGGCTGAGAGTATCTGGCAGTAAAGAAAAAAAAAACTATTTGCTAAAGATTAAATGGCTTCAGCTTTTACTCGGTTGTGAAAATGTGTAATTTTTATGATTGGTGTGGGTATTGGGGAACTTTGGAATTTCTGCATCAATTGCCAGCATCAAACACTTTCAAATCAGCGTAAGTTCAATACAGAAACGGGATGGTTTATTTTTCAGATAGATTTTGTAACATTCATTCTACAGATGGTTTCCTCAATCCAGCAGAAATCCCACTGAGTTGGACGCAGTACAAAAGCTTTGAGCTGTCCCTCCAACTCCCATCCAGCAGTCACTCATCACTTGCTGCACTCAAATTCCATGTGTCAGCATTATTTATCAATTGCCAGTTGACTTCTCTATGATTTGAGGGATTGGCAGGAGCAACAAGTGGCAGTGGAACCTGCTGCAATCTAGCATTGTCAGCTGTCCCTAGCTGAAGCAGCAAACGTTCGCATTTTTCTTGATGTCTTGACTTTCTTTGGTCATATTAGCAAATTTCTAAAATTCCTACAAACTAGCTTAGCAGCCCTAGTTGTAGAAATACCACAAATTCCTAAGAATCCGTGATACCAACATCTTATTCTTTTTGACAATTTGCTCAATGACACATTTCCATCATTGACATTTAACTTGAAAAGTTTTAATCCAAAGTTACATAGTTGTGTCCAATGCATGCCAATACATTTATCAGGAAATCTTGGAAGTGACAATGGAATTTTGCGAGTCACTATGAATGCTCTGGGCTTCTCTCCTAGTTCCAGTTATACCCATTGTGAGGATATGAGTGCCCTTAAATTTACTGTCAGTGTCCAATTTAGTAACAATGCTCATAGATTGGCAAGGTGCCCAGAGAGTTCTGAAACGGTTGCTGGATTTTGTGAGGAGTGACAATCACACTGATGACCACTTCACTCTGTTTTTACATTAGGAAAGAGAACTGGGATGGCATGGTGCTCAGTGGTTAGCACTGCTGTCTCACAGTGCTAGGGAGCGGGGTCAATTCCACCCTCGGGCGACTGTGTGGACTATGAATGTTCTCCCCATGTCTGCGTGGGTTTCCTCCCGGTGGTCCGGTTTCTTCCCATAGTCCAAAGATGTGCACATTAGGTGGATTGGCCATGTTAAATTGCCCATAGTGTCTGGGGATGTGCAGGCTAGGTGGATTAGCCTTGTGAAATGCAGGGTTACAGGGACAGGGTAGGGGGATGGGTCTGGGAGGGATGCTCTTTGGAGAGGTGGTGTAGATTCAATGAGCTAAATAGCTGCTTCCACACTGTAGGGATTCTATGATTCACCACATTTCAGATGGGAGATTCCGATTAGGCCTCCTTCCACAGGATTCTGATTTGCAATTCTCATCAACGCTGCAGGAACTATTATCTGGCATAAAAAAGTCAAGGGAATAACACAGAAATGGCACAGCTATTGCTAATACAAGGAATCAGGACCTGAAGGTCACCAGAACCTGTTGGTCTACTTCAAGGGTTTTAAATAAAATGGCTGCAGAAATAGTGGAGGGATTGGCCAAACATTCCAGAACCTACCAGATTCCAGAAGGGTCCAAGTGAAAGCTGCTATTGTGATGCCCTTTTTCAAGAAGGGAAGGAGGCAGAAAGCAGGAAACTATAGGCCAGTTAGCCTAACTTCTGTTCTCGGGAAAATTCTAGAGTCCAAGACGAAGGAAGAAGTAACAGGTCACTGAGAAAAGCTTAATGCAATAAGAGTCAACATGGCCTTGTGAAAGGGAAAGTATGTTTGACAAATTTACTGGAGTTATTTGGGAATATAGCAAGCTGAGTTGATAAAGAGGCACTGGTAGATGGACTGCATTTGGATTTCATTAGGTATTCAATAAGGTGCCGTATGAATGGTCATTGTACAAGATAGGAGCTCATGAAATCGGGAGGTAATGAATGATACTGGGGGAGTGGGGTAATGTATTAGCATGAGTACAACATGGAGAGGATGCAGAAGAGGTTTACCAGGAAGCTGCCCAGATTAGAGGGTATGAGCTATCGGGGAGGCTGGAAAAACTAGGGTTGTTTTGTCTGGAGTGGCGAAGGCTGATGGGAGACTTGATAGAAGTCTATAAAATTATGAGATGAAATTATGAAATAGGGTTGACAGTCAGAATCTTCTTCCCAGATGTGAAATATCTAATTCATGGCGGGGGGGGCATGCATTTAAATTGAGGGGGGGAAAGTTCAAGGGTGATGGGAGGGGCATTTTTTTTAAACACAGAGAGTGGTAGGAGTCTGGAACATGCTGCCAAGGATGGTGGTGGAGGCAGACACAGTATGAGCGTTTAAGGGGCTTTTAGATAAGTATGTGAATTTGCAAGGATACGGACCAGGGACAGGTAGAAGGTATTAGTTTAATTTGATGTTATGTTCAGCATAACTTTGTGAGCTGAAGTGCCTGCTCCTATGCTGTAATGTTCTACATTCTATGAATTGAAGATTGGTTAAAGCACAGAAAACAGTGCATTTATTACTATTCCAGCAACTTACAAGACAGAGGGGATGCTGTTCAATTCATCCCTGTACTTTTTAGCCAGGCTTCCTGCCTACCAAATCATGTCCAAACAGCTGTTAAAATTCAGCCCTATAGTTTGATATAATGCACAATGCAACTGTTCCGAATTTGTTGACATTCTCAACTGACAAGAATGAATGAATCACTTTACAAGGTAGTAAATGAATACTAAATTTCTTTTTGAAGTTTTATCATTAGCATTGACATACCTAAGTAAAGAAACATGCAGAAAACTCTATTTATCACACATCTACACTTGTCTTCGCTCCAGAAGGCAAAGCCAGAGTGATTCAACATTCACCTGCCATCTTTCTCTGGTACTTCCTTAATTGCTATTCTTACTTGATTGCTGAGGTCCCGTCCTGCATACACCACTCCATATTTGCCTTTTCCCAACACCACCCTTTCTTCAGATTCTTCGTAGTCATATACATACTACAAGGGAAGAGAAGGGAAAACACAGCCATTGGTGGAACGTTGAATAGTGGGTTCATGCTCCGCTCCAAAGACCTGAGCATACAGTCCAAGCTGACATGCTGGTGCAGTACTGAGTGAACGATATATTCTAGGACATGCTGTCTTTCAAATCAGACATTAGAACAAGGATGGTATGGCACAAGGTAACAAGTATTCATTCAGACTGACATAAAAGATCCTATAGCAACGCTCAAAGATTACCAGAAATCTTGGCCTAAATTTATCTCTCGAGCTGGGTGGCCATGCTTCCTACATTAAAATAAGGGTAATTTTCTTTTAAAATACTTCATTTTCCACAAAATCCTTCATGACATCCTGAGGTTGTGAAAGGCATTTTATAAATGCAATTTGTTTTCTATTGGAAATCGTACGGGCCAAAAATCCTAGAATTCTCTCCCTAATGACGTTGTGGGCCTACCTACAGCACATGGACTGCAGCATTTCAAGTAGGCATCTCACTATCACCTTCTCAAGGGCAACTAGGGATGGGCAATAAATGCTGGCCAGCCAGCATGCCCAAATCCCATGAATGAATTTTTTAAAAAATATACTTTTCACCAATATGAACAGGTCAGATCAAGGCTTTTAGCCCTGAAAACCCATGGGTACTTATTTTGGATCAAAATGATGAATTCATTCTGCTAGAAACCACTATTGTCACTCAAGTAATCAGGGTCAGGGTTTGGAGGTCAGGGATGGTTCTCTGATCCCCCATCTGACAAGTGGACATTGTGGTGTCACTGTGGCGACAGCTATTCAGTGCAGTTGTTAATACTCCTATCAAGACCACAAAGTTCCAAAGGCACTTTGAAGGAATCCATATCAGATTAAAAGATCTGAGAGGTTTGGGAGTCCAAGCCCAGAAAGATCTCACATTTATCACATAAGACTTAGTTGTTTTCTCCTAGGAGAACAACCATTGGGAAGCACCCAAACCAGAGTGATGGACACTTAAAACATGTAAATTGGGAGATCATTCCCTCAGTATGTTTATGATAGATAGAAATTCCATCACAAACGGGGCTTTCAGTAAATTAGCAGTTCAGGTTGCATTCCAGTGATGTATGTCTAATTTTCAGGCCTTCAGACACGGTTTCAGCTTATCTTAGAGCATACAATTCCTTGCACAAAGGGAAGAAAGCAAGACAGGTTTCCATCAGAAGCCACATTGCAACCATAAGTCCATTGTATCTTATTACGCGTGCAGACACATTTGAGGCAAATTAAAGCATGAAATAAGAAATGATAAAGCAGCAGAAGTTCTACCCTATGTCTGATTTTCTTTTCTTTCCAAACACTTGCTGAAGGTCAATTTCACCTCACGTGATCATCTTTAAATAAATGAGTGACCTCGTCTCTATTTCCATCCACACAGCTTCAAGGAAAGGCCGAGCGATGACATGCTGCTGCCCTCTGATACAACTGTGTAGAAAATGCTCTATATGATTTGAGTGAACAAAAGCTTAACATATCTGAAATTCCATGCTATATTTTCGGAATAGAGCTAAAAACACATTCCTGGAGTATGGATACCTGAACAGAACTTTGCACGTAATTTTACTAATTCTCGAACAGAACCACGCACAAAGCTGATCCATTTCAAGAGATTTCCATAGACGTGCATTTGCCATAAAGGACTGTTTACCATCATACCTCCAGTGTCTCTCCATCAGTGTCGCTCTCCAGCTCCCCAGCACTGGCTGCTTCATCATTAATTTCTTTTACCAAGCGACTAAACCTAAAAGATGGTTACAAACCAATTCAGGGTCAGCGATAGAGAATTCAGAGCTCCCAAATGTGCAGGAGATGTAGTTAAAAGTAACAATAACAACATAGAGGTTATGAAAAATCACAGGAATTCTGGTGCAGTCACTCCATCAAAAGGTTCATGAAAATAGGAACATAAGAATCAATGCTGGAGAGATGGCAGGTCAAATATAACACAGTGCTGGGGGAACACAGCAGGCCAGGCAGCATCAGGGGAGCAGGAAAGTTGACATTTCAGGTCAGGACCTTACTTCTGAAGGTTTTGAGAAATCGGTTCTGGGAATAGTGGGACCTGTACAGGCTGGACTGATATTTTTACTGGTCTGGGACAATATTCTTATGAGGCAGTTTGCTCATACTGTTGATGGTTGAAACTCACTTGCCAGAGGGATAGGAATTAGGATGCAACACGAGAAAGAAAAAAGGAGCTACATAAAGGACTAGAAGAGACAGAATGCATTAGAAGGGGCAGAGTAAGAGGGAACACAATCAGTTTTAAATTACATTTACAATGCAAATACCTGAACACACCAATGCTGATTGATGAACACCAATGTGGTAAAGGTTGCTCTACTGCAGGCACAGATAGAGGCCAGAGAATATGATATTGTGGCAATAACGGAGACCTCACTCAAAAGGCTGAGGACTAAATAGGAACTGGAGATTTGCAGGCATTACACCCTTGTTCCAAAGATATCACGACAAGTGCAGACTGGTCAATTTAACCTCCGTGGTGAGAAAGATTTCAGAAAAGATAATCCAGGACAAAATTAATAGTCACTTGGACAAATAGGGAATAAATAAGAGAGAAAAAAAAAACATGTATTTGTTAAAGGCAAATGGCATTTAACTATTTTGACTGAGTTTTTGATGAGGCTACAAGAAGTTGGCGTGACACACAGATTTCCAGAAGGCACATCGTAAAGTGCCAAATAGCATGCTTGTCAGCAAAGTCAAAACTCGTGATTTAATGAAATAAAAGGGACAGTGTCTGGATACAAAAGTGATCTAATGTCAGGAAATCGACAGTCGTGGTGAATGGTTGCTTTTCAGATTGGTGGCAATGGTCTAGAGGTATTATCGCTGGTACCCAGGTAATATTCTGGGGACCCAGATGGTGGAATTTGAGTTCAATAATAATCTAGAATTAAGAATCTAATGATGATCATGAAACCATTGCTGATTGTCAGGAAAAACCATCTGGTTCATTAATGTTCTTTAGGGAAGGAAACTGCCACCCTTACCTAGTCTGGCCTACATGTGACTCCAGACCCACAGCAACGTGGTTGACTCTGAACTGCCCTCTGGGCAATTAGGGATGGGCAACAAATGCTGCCTGGTCAGTGATGCCCTCATCCTGTGAATCAGTTAAAAATAGTAGGATTCCCCAGGGACTGGTACAAGGATCACTGCTTTTCTTAATCTGTATTAGTGATATAGAATTGGTTATGCAGATCACAATTTCAAAATTTGTGGATGGCTCAACACTTGGAAGCATTGTGAAATGTGGAGGGGTTTTCTTGAGTAATCTTTATTTTACATATTTCTCCATACTTACTTCCAAGCCAAATGTGGAGAGATGTATAAATGGCAACTGATCCAATATTAGCTGTTTTACACCATTGCACAAGGTCTAAATCACTCATCATATTTCTTGCATCACTGTCTACTGAAGCAAACATAGGCCTTTAATAATTGACCACAACAAGGTGGAAAGGGTGCAATGTAAAATAAAAGCGGTACAAAGTCATTCTCACAAATAATCTGGGCAGTGACAAGTTACCTGCTGACATCTCACCTGCTGCACTGAGCCTCTGTGGAGAAGTAGATCTGAAAGTCATCAGAGTTGTCATGGACATACAAGAAGCAGCAACGCTCATCATGTTTGGATATGCTGGAATGGCCAGGGAGAGGAATAGCCATTAGGATTCATTGTGCAGCATTAAAGCCAGTACCCTTCAAACTGAGGAGTGTGAGGGAGAGCTGTGATTCAAACACACAATTTGAAACTGTGCCATTCTACATTACAGAAGTGCCAAACCTTCATGAGCAGTTCATTGTTGTAGAATGCTTTGTGGACATCCTGAAAAGGTTCTATGTAAATGTAAGTCTTTTTTGTTACTGAGAAACAGTTTGGAGGGTGTGCTAGCAAAGACAGACATAGGTAGATAACGGTTTGCTACAGTTCTGTTAGACTACTGTATCTGACAACGGGCTGGAGATTAACAACCAGATAGCAGTCAGCCATACTCTCAACAGGTGATCCAAGGCTGTGATGGACCAAGCACACAAAGGTGACAAAGGTGGCGCTGCTGTTTTCTGGCATACTGACCTCTACATTGCAGAGACTGAGTGCTAGCTCTCAGATATCTTCTCCTATCTCCTCCTGGACCATGACCCCACCATAGAATATCAGGGAACCGTGTCCACAATGGTCACTGGTAAACTCCCCCTCACTGCGTCCTCGCTAATAGGCCCCCAGCCCTGCACAGCTCACTTCCACCTCCTTCCCAAAATCCACAAACAGGACTGCCTGCGTAGACCCATTGTTTCTGCCTGCACCTGTCCCACAGAACTCATCTCTTCCTACCTTAACTCGGTCTTTTGTCATCTTGTCCAGTCCCTGCCCACTTATATCCGCGATTCCTCTGATGCTTTATGTCAGTTTCAGAATTTCCAGCTTGCGGTCTCTAGCCGCCTCCTCTTCACCACAAATATGCAATCCCTTTAAAGTCCATCTCCCACCAGGATGGTCCCAGGGTTCTCGGCTTCTTCCTGGCAAAAAGGCCTCAACTGCCCCATCCACCACCAGTCTTTGCACCCGGCTGAGCTTGTCCTCACTCTGAACAATTTCTCTTTTAAATCTTCTCACTTTCTACAGCTCAGAGGGGTGCCCATGAGTACCTACATGAGCCCCAGTTATGTCTGTCTCGTCGTGGGGTACGTGGAACATTCCTTGTTCCAGTCCTATTCCAGCCGCCACCCACAACTCTTTCTCCAGAATATTGGTGATATCATCAGTGTTGCTTCCCTCTCGCATCTGGAATTGGAAAAATTGATCAATTTCGCTTCCAACTTCCACCCCACTCTGATCTTTACCTGGTCTATCTCTGTCTCCTCCATTCCCTTCCTCCGCAAACTCTGTTTCCATTTCTGGGGATAGGCCGGTCACTAATATTCACTATAAACCCACCGACTCCCACAGCTATCTGGACTGTACATCCTCGCACCCTGCTTCCTGAAAAGACACCATTCCATTCTCCCAATTGCTCCATTTCTGTTGCATCTGTTCTGATGATGACAACTTCGACAAGGGAGCCTCCGAAGCGTTCACCTTCTTCCTCAACCGAGGATTCCCCAGCACCGTAGTTGCCAGGGCTCTCAGCCAGGTCTAACCCATCTCCTGCTCTTTGGCCCTTAACTCCTCTCTTCCTTCCCCCGACAGCAATAGGGTTCCCTTCGTCTTCTACTACCATCCTACCAGCATCCACATCCAAAGGATCATTAGTTGCTATCTCTGTCACCTCCAGCTGAATGCCACTACCAGACACATATTCCCCTCCTCTCCTTTACCAGCCTTCTGCAAGGACCTGTTTCCTCCAGGTCACCCTGATCCACTCCTCCTTCACTCCAAACAACACCCAAACCCACCCCCACAGCCCTACAGCAACTTCCCCTGCAATCGCACCAGGCGGAACACCTGCCTGTTTACTTCCTCCTTCATCACCATCCAAGGGCCCAAACATACCGTTCAGGTGAGGCAGCTTTTACCTACACTTCACACAATCTAGTCTACTGCATTCGCTGCTCATAATGTGGTCTCCTCTACGTTAGGGAAATGAAGCATAGACTGGGTGACCGCTTCAAAGAACATTACATTCTGTCCACAAAAAAGACCCTGAGCTTCCAGTTGCCTGCCACTTCAACACACCATTTTGTTCCTTGGCCAACATCTCTGTCTCAGGCTTGCTGCATTGCTCTAGAGAAGCTCAGCGCAGGCTGGAAGAATAACACATCATTTTCCGCTTGGGATCTCCACTGCTTTCTGGACTCAATGTTGAGTTTAACAATTTCAGGGCGTGCGCATCTTCCCCATGCTTTCCAGCCCCCTCACACACCAGATCTTCTTACCACATGGTCGACCATTATACACAACCCATTGTTAGTCACTAACAGTACCCATTAACAGCTACTGATTCTCCCAGGCTGACCTTTGTCTGTCCAACTGTTCTTCTCTGTCTTTGGGATCTATTGCCACCTATTGTTTTCTCCTTACTTACACTCCGCTATGCTATCTTTTGCATTAAATCAACCTTTTCCTAGCTACTGTCAATTCTGAAGAAGGGTCACTGGAGCTGAAACGTTAACTCTGATTTCTTTCCACATATGTTGCCAAACCTGCTGAGTTTTTCCAGCAATTTCTATTTTTGTCCCTATCATTTTACCCCATTTTAGAGTGCACTGTTATCATTGGAGTTAAGATCATGAAACTTTCTGTACATTTAATTTAGTCCACTGGATATGTAATCCTATACTATCCCCA